AAAAAAAAAAAAAAAAAAAAAAAAAAAAAAAAAAAAAAAAAAAAAAAAAAAAAAAAAAAAAAAAAAAAAAAAAAAAAAAAAAAAAAAAAAAAAAAAAAAAAAAAAAAAAAAAAAAAAAAAAAAAAAAAAAAAAAAAAAAAAAAAAAAAAAAAAAAAAAAAAAAAAAAAAAAAAAAAAAAAAAAAAAAAAAAAAAAAAAAAAAAAAAAAAAAAAAAAAAAAAAAAAAAAAAAAAAAAAAAAAAAAAAAAAAAAAAAAAAAAAAAAAAAAAAAAAAAAAAAAAAAAAAAAAAAAAAAAAAAAAAAAAAAAAAAAAAAAAAAAAAAAAAAAAAAAAAAAAAAAAAAAAAAAAAAAAAAAAAAAAAAAAAAAAAAAAAAAAAAAAAAAAAAAAAAAAAAAAAAAAAAAAAAAAAAAAAAAAAAAAAAAAAAAAAAAAAAAAAAAAAAAAAAAAAAAAAAAAAAAAAAAAAAAAAAAAAAAAAAAAAAAAAAAAAAAAAAAAAAAAAACATACAAACAAACAAACAAAAATACAAAAATATTTAGCTTTAAGAGGGTTAGGCCTACCCTAAAATTAAGGAACGCTCGACCTCGACACGTGATATCGAAATGGGCGAAATCGCCTCTTGATATCACTAACTCTCTCTCTCCTCCTCCTGATTTGATCCTACTCTTACCTCTGACGAATGAGAGAAATTACCCAAGACTCAGGTCACAAGGCCAATCCCTACCCATTCCCCAGCCTCAGCATTAGCGTCCCAAGGGTCAACCCTGAGCCCCCCGCTTTTTATCATCTACGCCAATGAATGACCTTAGTTTCCTATCTACTAAAATGTTCACGTACGTCGATGATGCAGCTATTTACTTCTCCCACTGTAACCCAACAGGAGCCCTAAATGCATTCCAAAGTGAACTACACAATCTCCGAAGTTGCATGAAATAACTTTTAATTAGTGTAGACTCTCTTCTTCCGGCCACTCGAACAGATTTGCCACATCAGCTGTAAAAGACTTCCATGGCCTAACACTTAACTCTGAACCTATCTAACCACTTCCTGAAGTTCACGCATGATTAAAATCTATCCTACGAGGACCACTATGTGGCAATCCTAAAAAGGCGAAGTCAAAGTGGATACTCATATACATATCCAACTCAATTTCTATATTTAACAAGTAGAAATAGAGTTGAATATGGATGAATCGCCTTAGATTGTAGCAAAGGCCCTAATTCTACCTCATAAGACCTATCATCTCCCTTTATAATGCAGTCTCCTCTGCCCCTAACCTTCTAGATCAAACTTGAATAATTAACGAATTTAAAAATGCACAAGAATAGTATATGCACCTCATCTTCATTTGCACCCCCTTTCAAAATTCAAATCGATGCGATTTAGTAAATTTGGCATTTTTAGAAACCGTATACATGGGTTCAGAACTCTTCACACACATTGTACCTCAATATCGTCAACACGAAACTCACTTCTTAACAAAAGGAAAACTGTGCATGCCTTCAGGAACCACATTCAGCTTTCAGCGTGCAATACATTCCATTACAGGGTGAAAAGATTTGGAATTCAATTTATGACAATCGCCAAATCGTCAAAAGTTCAGAAAGCAACTTAATACACAGCTTTGCAATACTCAAAAGTAAAAAAAAAAAAGAAGACAAGTAATATTGATTGAAACACTCCATTGAAACGCTCTCCCTTTTGTCAAGCTCCACTTCTCTCCTTACATCTCTGCCCATCCTATACCTGTAGCATATGCAATACACGTCCTATACCTATACAGTACATAATAATCAGCTCCGCTCGATGCTGGAATTGAAATTAATTTATGCCTTTCTTTTTCGGCGCTTATGTTCTCCATTGTACCGTTTTGTGTCAGGCTTACCCTACGACATATTGGGTGACATGCACCAGATCCGTTTAACTTTAAACTGATTCGTTTTCATAATTGGCGTCTATGGGAATAAGTTTATCTCGGTTAAACTGATTCCCGTAGGGAACCATTGTGAGATCAGATTAGTTTAGCTTAAACGGATTCGGTGCATGTCACCCATTGTTCCGTCTTGTTCAATCCAGCATGTACAAGAATAGGATCAGTCTCAAATTGGGACCTCCAACCTTGTGCAGGGGCCTTCGTACATGCTGTCATTATGCTTTATACAGTACCTTCTGTTCCGATTAACAAATTATTATTTAATTATATAATTATATAATTATAATGTATAATTATTTATTATTATCATAATTATTTCAGGAGTTACCAGGCGTACCGGCAAAGGGGCAAAGCAGGAAGGGGGGATGAACCACATTCCAATTTTCAGGCTTCCTGATTATTATTGTCGTTATTATTAATATTATCATCATTATAGGGAATTAAATTATAATTGGAGCGCTTCATGTATGGCTATTTGTAGATGAACCAGACCCTTGCAATCCGAACCCTTGTATGAACGGAGGGAGTTGCTGGCGAACCCGGAATAGGTATCTCTGCTATTGTTTACCTCCCTTCACCGGTCCGAATTGCGAATGTGTCATGGAGCAAGAACTTTGCAAGAACTGCACTAGTGAAGGCAGAAACTGCACATTCAACTGCACGCATGCAAAATGTGAATGCTTTGATAACGAAATCATCATCCAGGATGAATGCGAAAGTCAGTTCTCTCCCCGAGCCTTAAGATTGTTCTCTTTTCCTTCTCTCGATGCATCTTCTATGGGAAATGTCTTCATAGGTGCGGATCCGTGTTGGAACCCCTTCCATTGTTTGGAGAATTTCCAGTGCGTTCCCTGGACTGAGGAATGCATTTGCCCCAATGGATTCGAATTGGTCAACGGCACTTGTCAGGGTACGGTTGGTTAAAGGTATTCTGCATCTGGACAGATGAGTGGAATCGTGAAGGGATGGGGACTCCGTGGTCATGTTCATCACGCAGATTATAACGAGTGCGAATTGGAGGAATCGTGTGGCGAGGGCGAGAAATGTAACAACGAGATGGGGAACTACACGTGCACGTGCGACGAGGCATCTGGATACTACTTCGTCAATGATACTTGCTTGAGTGAGAAAACCAACTCGTTTTCTTCTCCTTTATTCCTCTGTGGGAACTCCTTTTTTGTCACGTATTCTCTTTCCAAGCAGACGTTGACGAGTGCGAAGCGCGAGTGGACGACTGTCAATTTGCCTCCACGTGCATCAATCTCCTGAATGGCACCTTTGATTGTTCCTGTCCTCATCCGGAAGCCTTTACTGATAAAGGCAATTCCTGTGTCGGTCTGTCACTTCCCAATATTACTTTCTCAATATTTCAATTGTAATAATCGGTATAATAGATGGATATATGCCATGTAATCTACGCCTGCGGGGGCAGAAGAAGCAGGTGCAAGGAAGCTGCAAGCAACTGGAAGAATTTCACTCAAAGCATTCAAACTTTTAAACTTTTCATGTGGCTGCTCTCTATTGAGAGTGGTCGTGGAAAATGTATGAGTTGGTTAGAGAAGTATTACTTAAAGTAAAAAGGAGTTCATCCGTAACTGCCCTTCTGAAAGAAACCTCACGAGATCCTATTGAGGTTCTCCAATAGATGTTTCATGAGGTCTCACAACTTTCTCACGAGAAAATTGTGAGACCTTGATGATTAAGTTATGAGACCTAATGAGGCCTCATAGCATAATTATAATCCTCATGAAGACGTTTCGTAGCCTAATGAGGAACCTCACAATCCTCATGAGAAATTCGGCAGATCTCATGAGAAGCTTGTGAGATCTCATGATAAATCATTTATTTATAGTTTATTGTGAGGTTTTCTCAGCAGGGTCCGCAAGAGCATTGTGTGAGGATAAGATATTTCACTTAAAAATAATATTGAATAAGGGTCGTTCCCTATTTGACGGGATTGATGGGAAAAGTCGTTCAATATCAATAGAGTAAAAGGAAATGTAGGTGCAATCGTACTCCACTACCTGTCAAAAATCCGAGCTTCTCCGACGCAAAGATACAAGAAACATTCAAAAACAAAACCTTGATGTCGCACAACAGATGCAATGGATTTGCTTGTCTTGTGGAAATAGTGAATGAAGGCCATCGTTGTGAGAAGGATTGCGGGCATGGAGTTTGTTATCGGCCGAAGAAGAACTCGACCGCGAACGACGAAACGTGCGCCTGCTACAAGGGATCACATCTTCAAAATGGAACTTGCTCTCGTGAGACCGGACCCTCTTCACATCCATTCGTTCACTTATGCAGTGCTATCACATGTCAAAGCCTTTTTTTATTTTTTAGAGTCCGCATTATGTGATGAGCTGAAATGCGGCGAGAACGCGAATTGCACTGCAACGAAAGGGTGCGAATGTGAGATCGGGTTCCATTCCCCTCTTCCTGGAGTCATTCCCTGCAGAGGTATCTCGTCTATTATCCAAATGCTTCAAAAAGTATAAGAGGCTTTGTGAGAAAAATGTGAGCGTTAGTCATTGGCTTGATCTGTAGCCAAGGAAGAAGAGCGTGGAGAGAAGGGAAAGAAAACGGTGAAGGAAAGGAATGCCCAGTGTTAAAAGTGCTCTTCGAACCGAAAATAAAAAAAGAACAAGCCGAAGCACTCGCGTTTTCCTCTCTTAATCTTTTCTACTGTTCATTAACGAATGGATAATTTACTCATTTACTCTCATCTCCCCCATAGATATTGACGAATGTGAAGAAAATCGTCACAATTGCAGCCAGAACGCGGAATGCAGGAATACTCCTGGAGGCTTCGGATGTTGCTGCAAGGAGCCGGGTTTCTCAGGCGATGGATACGACTGTCAACGTTTGTCTCTCTCAATCCTTCATGTCAACCTTTTATCCTTATAATTTTGACTCATCTTTCAGTCGACGTTGTTGACGTCACGAGTCCGCACGATCTGTGCACTCTGCGCAATCGTGAATGGAATTGATTCTTTTTCGCCTTTAGTATATGAGTCACCAAAACATTGATAGTGAGCAATTACAGAGGGTGAGCAAAAAGTAACTTTTGTTCCAATAACTTCGTAACTTTTGTTCCAATAAGGATGGGAACTTCCCTCTTGAAGCATTTAAAAACCATTCTCATGGTTTAAAACCTCTAATTACACTTCGACTAAAGCTCAGGCATTATCATTATATTGCAAGGTTTCCAGGTTAATAATTTAGTGGGGTGGTTCTATACAACACCATGACCTTCGCACGAGCAAACGACAGAAAACTGGTCAGGGTTGTCCAGTATGAGTAACCTGGTCAGGCAGGTCAATCATTGAAAATCTTGATGATAAGATGGATTCCCTTTAAGAATGAATTAATAAGAGATGCCTGGAAATCGGTGGAGATCCAAAATGTTATCCAAAGTAGGTGCTTTCACCTTGTCTCTTATGACGTTTGGGTCAGTTGATGACGTCTGGCGAGCAATCAGGCAGTGGAGTGTGCCGTGTTGTTTCCTGTTTTCCCCTCCGGGCTGACAGTCCCATATTCTTCGGCGCGATCACTTCACTTTTTTCCATCTCTTCATCTTTGGGAATTCTCCCTCTTTGTTATATGAAATGCTCCAGGTCTAGAGAAAAGGGTAAAGACAAAAAGATTTTCTGCACCGATAAGCTGTTGCTTCTGTTAAAGCAGAAGTGGGAGTGAGTGGGGAGTTCATTCCAAAGGACCTTTTCGAGCGTGGCATCGTGAAAGGCCATTCAAAGACTAAGAACCGACCTCCGTTGGCTGAGTCTACAAATGTGTTCTACCTAGATCCTTGTCACATTTCACCCTTCTACTAGCCTAACTTCAAGTGCCACATTTTGTTCAGAGTAATGACAATGAGTCCGTATGTCTTCGAGTGACATTGTGAGAATACATGGCTAAGCGCTTCAAATGTAACAGTTGAAGGGTTGTAAAACCTAATGAGGGAGCCTCTTCCATTTTGCCGATGGCCAAGCTCCTGTTGGTGATCCAGCACCTATTTCAGGGTCTGCGATGGACTTTAGCTATAATCATTACCTGCGATGGTAACAAAGCAAGTCCATGATCAGTATAGACTAGTCGAAGCCCAGATCCTCTGGATCTAACTCGGAGTGCAAGGCTTGGCTGGGAAAATGACTCCGAAATGTTGACCTTTGACCTCTAATTTTTCAAAGGGGAAAGGTCACTTAGAAAAATGAACTTGACCAGGAAGCCCTGGGGATTTAGTAACTCCCACACACAATGAAGGAGGTATTTTGATGAAAAATGACCCTGGTGACCCAAGGTGGCCCAGCGGCCCATCGGAGGCAGGGCCACCAAACTCTGTCGTCCTGATGTCCCACCCCAAGGAAGCCTATGTTTAAAGTTTCAGGGTCAGAGATCAAACCATCTTGGAGGAGAAGCGGCCATGGACACACAGACTCTTACGCTGATTAGTAAGGTAGATGAGGTTTAGAACCTGATTCCACCCACTTTCATTGTTGAGCCTAAGGTGTCGGGTTAGGTGTCATCCTGACACCCGACGCTATAATAAGCTGCTACAAGTGCTTATAGCTTTGAGATCATTCAAGGTGGGGATCGTTGTCTCGTATTAGGCATCGAGGGAGTAGAATTACAGTGTTCCCTAAGGTACTTGTAAAGAATCGTCTCTCAACTAAGTTGTATTCATTGTTACTGGGGGAAACTGAGATGATGACTTCTTGTCCTTTTGATCACTGCCTGAAAGATACCATTCATTCACCTCTCGGAGAGGTCAGCTAAGTGTTTTCGAACCAAAAATATATCCTTTGGAATACACTCGCTTGTATTCAAAGAGGAACTTGAGGTGGAGGTAATGACATCTAGAATGTTCGCATTGCTATAAGGTCGACGGAAAAACGAAGATTCCAAGGGAAGTGCTAATTCGCCAAAACTGGCTGTCACTGACATGCAACTACACTCGTCCCGTCACATCTGAGGGCTTCCCCTCTGGATCGTACTTACATACGGACTGACTTACGTACATATAGACGAAGTACATAGTACTACTTGCATGAGACCGCCAAGTCTGAATGACGCTAGGACTGCTTGACGATCTTATGACGGTGTTATGCTGGACGAAACATCAATTATTAACCTACATTTTTAGATGAACTTTATGAAGTTCAGAAAGAGAATGAAAACCTTTTGGACAGACTGTAAGAAGAGAGAATCACGCCAGACTGACTTCCTCCCACACAGGGAATAACAATTGTGCGGAGGCTGAAGCACGGGATAAATGTATGGAGATGCGAGGTGTGTGCGCCCTGCTTCCTTATCATCCGTATTACGAGTGCCGTTGCGAACCCAGTTACGCATTTAATAACAAGAGCGGATTCTGCCAGAAGGGTAAGGCCGTCTTCTCACCACTTTCCCCTTACTCTATGTCACTGGCTACCTCTTCCAATGGCATTCGTTCCACCAGCTTATGATCTGAACATGCACGTATATGCCATGACGATGCCTCTTCTATGGCAATCATCCGAGAAGATATGCGACGCAGAGAGCAAAGATTTGTACGATTTCAGATCCAAACTCTTTGATCAGGTGAGTTCATCTCAGGAAATGCTCAGACCTGTACTTGAACGAGACACGAAACGAGTGCATGTGAAATGGTGCTTGAAGTTAGGACCTCTGTTGGCGGAGGCGGGATCGATGCATGACTCTATATTGAGTCTGGAAGAAGTGAAATGCGGGAAATCTGGAAGTATGGGGCGGCAAGTGGAGATTGATGTCCAGGTGGAAATATCCATAGTGACCGGGACCGATGCCTCGGATTCGCAGACGTTCTCGAATACCCTCAATCAGGCCATATATGACCCCAATCCGGGAGAGGAGAATGGATGCAGATACCTGAAAAACGGTTGGTGCATCAACAAAAACCCAGGACTTCGAGTAGACACAAGTGAGTGATTCGGTCGAGTGTTTCCACTCTCCAGCGTTCCCTTCTTCGATGTTGATGTACTTTCGCAGATTTGGATGGGTGCGCTAAGTTCGGGAAGGAAGTCTGTTCTGCCGAGGGTCAAGAGTGCAAGAAAGACACGAACTCTAGTTACTCCGGTGCATTCCAGTGCAAATGCAAGACTGGATACGAGGTCATCCCCCAACCCGGTATTTCCGAAGAGGAATTCTGTGCAGGCAAGAACCGACAATCTCAATTCTTTATATAAAAAAGGATGCAACACGCAAGTATGCGATACGTGGAAAAAAGAATCGGGAGATAAAGTTTTACCAGAGAGATAAAATGATACTTTGCGTGAAAATTCACTCTTACGCGTTTTTGGGAAAGGATGATCGTGTTTGGACAATAATTTACTGTTTTCAAATGGTCCTATGACTATTGAAGTAGGGAAAGTTCGACTCTGCCTCTTGTCTGTTGGAACTTGGACAACCTGGAACTGTCTTGCGCAACTCCTATAAGCGATTTTTTCTGTTTTCTCGCAACAAAAATTCGACCAAAACTCGATGGAATACCGCGAAGAAATGGCGAATCGGCGAGCAGTTTATTGTCTTAAAGTTCAGGGGTGGACCGAATAAAATAATGCCAGCATTAACCTAAAGCTGTATTGACTAATGGAAGTTTAAAGTTCGGCTTTGGATAAAATTTAAAGTTGCATTAGTTAACTCACATTAGCACCCTAATTTGCATTAACGACTTCGATAATGCACACCTGGGATCCGCAAAAATTTCGTTCGCTCGGCAACGTTCGAAATTGGAAATTTTTTAATTCAATGCCCACAGAAGTACGAGGATGAGTCAAAATGTAACAGGACGTCTGCGATTAAAAAGTAGGAAATATACGAACAACTCGTAACTAGCAACGCAATTCGTACAAGTACTGCTTGTTAGAATATCTGCGCCGTGAAAACGGTGATCTTTGGTTTTGCTGCTATCTCGTGTGTCTCCCACAGTTATGAAAAATGACAGCTAAGGGTCTCGATTGCACCAAGGAAGAATTGCGTTACGTGACCAGGTTTTTGGTCAAAATCAATAGTTTTGTGTCAAAAGAAAGATAATTCGATAGGGTTTTATGATTCAATTGATTTGTTTGTTTGAAAAACAAATGTATGTCAAACAACTTCCATCGAAAAATAAATAAATAAATAATATTGAAAAAATACCGTCCGTGGACATCCGTGAAGCAGTAAGGAAGTGTGTCGAGTCAGCGGTATGGTCCTCCTCAATGCTAAATAAAGGTTGAAAGTAGGGTCATCGTAGCATTAAACTAATGCGGGATTTAATGCTACATTAAACTTAGAAAAATGCATGTAATCCATATTTAAAATCTCCTCTAAAGTAGCTTTAAATCCACTGCTAATGGAGGAGGTTTGAAGCTGGCATTACGCTAAAGTCGATTTTATGCAATTCACCCAATATCTCTGTACCGGTAACTTCGCAATCCAGTCGGCGCTTAGCCTTACATACATATGAATAATACTGTGGGAAATTTCAGACATAGACGAGTGTGGCGTGGAACGGACTTGCGCTTATCGTGAGGGAGAAGACGGAGAAGCCTCAGTGAAATGTATCAACCAACCTGGCAGCTACGCGTGTCTCTGTGAGGAACACTACGTACTCGATTTCCTCGATGGTCGGTGCAGATTCCTTTGTTCCATCGGCAACCATACTTGCGAAAATGGTGGGAACTGCACTAACAAGGGATGCTGGTTCGTATTTGTTTCGTGTGAAACCTCGTTCTCGGACGAGCAGAGGAGAATGTGGAGTGTTTGTCCTTCCGACAGGTGTCCAGAGGGGTACTTGGGCCTTCGCTGCGAAAGAGAGATCGACTCCCACCAGCAGGAACTGGAAGGTAACTGATTACCAGTTTTTATAAAATTACTTTATCAATGTATTAAGTATTTTCTCAATTCAGAGCAAAAATGAGGATAGCCACTATCTTGGAGGATCGTCATGCAATTTATACTCAAGTTGAATTTGATTAAAACCTGAAAATAACTTACAGGGTGATTTTTTATTCATGAGACCATTATAAATATTTATCATATTGGAATAAATAGAGTTAGATGTCTGAAATTTTGCATCAAGAATCCATAAACACGAGAAAGTTATACTCTATGAAAAAAAAAAAGTTCGATGTGCCCTCCTCAGCACGCTATTACATGTCGTAGGGGTGTGGTGTAATTCTGCACAACTGCCTGCAGGGTATCCAGGGAAATGGAATAACTTCACGTTCTGTGGCCGCCTACAGGTCTTTAAATGTGCATGGATTTAACCTTGACTCGAAAACTTTGTCCTTTAGGTATCCCCAGAGAAAATAGTCACATGGATTGAGATCATGGCCTGTCAACACAACGAACGTTGTGTTAGACTTCCTGTACGAGAACTACGGTACCAGAATGCTGTCTAGCAGATTTCCTGATATCCACAGCGGTGGATTAGTATGGCCACCATTTCCCCCCAATCTCAATCTTTGTGGCTATTTCCTCTGGGGATACTTAAAGGACGAAATCTTCGAGTGATGGTTAAATCCATGCACGTTTGGAGACTTGAATGTGGCCACAGAACGTGAAGTCTACTCCATTTCCCGGGATATTCTGCAGGCAGTTGTGCAGAATTTCACCACACCCCTACGACTGTTGATTGACAGAGGACACATTGAACTTGTTTTTTTTTTTCAAAGAGTATAACTTTCCCATGTTTATGGATTCTTAATGTGAAATTTCCTGCATCTAACTCTATTTGTTCCAAGATGATAAATATTATAATGGTCCCATGAATAAAAAATCACCCTGTATATTTTAATTATATAAGCAACTAAAAGTCAGATGCATGCCCTTCCTCAGAGAAGTCTCGATTTCCTTCTCCTCGCTTTCTGTCAACTTCTGAAAGGGGTGACCTGAGCCCTTTACGTCGGCTACGTTTTCCTGAGAAAGACAATTCACTCGTTTTCGGTCTACTGGACCAACTATCTGCTTCTGCAGCTCACAATAGGTGGTGCTGACAGCTAATATAAAGTGGGGAGAAAAGATGTAAGCAATTGCATGCGGTAGGCCTGCCCTTTTGGCTTCTTATTTGGGAATCCGTGGGCGACCAAGTGCTTGCAAATGCATCCTCACTCGAAGATTTGACTCGAGGTCGCTTCGGTCTTCTGTGGAAGTCGATTTTTTTCATAGTTATTTTTTTTACCTTCTCTTTTTTCTGTGCATATGGGCCGTGGAGATTTGAAACTCATCCCACGAACTCCAAATACTTCGGTTTAATACATAATGGAATATATCCGACGCGAAAGTGTGTAGCTAACCTCTTGCTCTCCATCACGATGGGCTTTATTCGAGAAGAGAGGAGGAATCACCGTGCTTGGCACGAGAAAGAATAGACCCTTAACATATGACGTCTTTCGGTGGCTTTCGAGGGCCAAATGCTAAGGGAGAATTTGAAACAATTTTTCTCTTCGGTTCATCGGACGCATCAATAAAAGCCATGGTGGAATCTTCCTGAGTCCCCCGTCCTTTAAATCTCATTGACTCGCTGACAAATTTTTTTCGAAAGCTTCTATGCACGTAGCCATTTTGAAATGATGCAACCGTTGGTTCTCCAATGAAAAGAATATTTGGCAAATTTTTCTTCTTTTCCCGCTAAAAGCTGGAAGAAGGGTCTGGGGACCCTCCTCCAAGCTGGGGAAAGCATTAGCCCATTTTCGGCGTACAAGGTGAATCATATGTAACTCACGAAGTTAGAAGCCTGAAAACTCCGGTTATAGAAAAGGCGCGACTGAGATATCATCTCATAGGGCAAATGTTATGCTGTAAAGCAGATGCATAAAACATTTTAAAATGTGAAACTTACTTTGTCTGACGAGATGAAGAGATCAAGCTTGCGAAGTCATTGACCACTCGTGACACATTTCTGAACTGTGTTCATACATGTTCAACAAATCACACCTAGCCACTTCTCATCATCGTCGAATTATGCCTGAACTAGTATCGGGTGGTAAGGCTTATAACTTACGTCCCTTAGTCTGAAGGGTCGTAGATCCCTGAGAGACTGCAAATCCTTGTGAAAGTCTGCGACTCGAATTCTGGGGATTTCGTGGAACAGTTGCTGTAAAAGCCTCTCTCGTCTTTTAAGTGCGAGCAGGTTTTAGGCGTCCTGACCTTTGCGCATCAAAGTCTAAGACACTGTCCATAACTTAATGCTTGGCAATCATCGATCGGATACTTGTGTGATGTGATGGCTGCTGTTCACCGAAGGCACCAGAAGTCGAGTCTATCTATGAATTTCACATGGACTTAGAGTGTCAGAACTTGGTGATCTGAGAGACCTTAGGTTATCTGGTGTTATAGCACCAGATTGATTCAGGCCTCGACGATGATAACGATAGGCTAGCTGGATTTTTTTGCGGTATTTTTGAACATGGTGGCAAAATGACTTCAGAATGCTCGATTGCTCCATCTTGTTTGGGGCTCTCGCCTTCGTCTCGTTCGACAGAGCAAATTTCGAATCTATACAATTTTGAAGTAGAAATGCTTTATAGATGAAAAGTTCCTCCATTTGTAATATGCATCTTTCCTTAATACCTTTTCTACTTCCAGAGTTATGAGGATTCAAACTCTGCTGGGTTACTTACAACTTACCCTGTTTATTTAAGATCCTTACCCGATCTTGTTTCATGCGTTTTGCATTGTCCTCCCCCTTCAGAGCGAAAAATTGAACAGAAACATGAAAAAATTGGTGAGAAAGTAATAAGCTACGTACATAGCAACAGGAATTTAAAAGATTCCTTCAAAAATAAATTCACTACGGTACTTATTAACTTGAGCAGACTTAATTTATTTTAATTGGGAAAATGCTTGAGATTCACAATACTAGGACCACACGGAAAGTGATCTCATGTTATTTCCAAATCTGTGTGCAGATTCTCGCTTGTCCCTGTATATTGTGGCAGGGGTCCTCGGAGGAATTATTTTCATCACTATAGTCTTCTCTGCCTTCTGCATCAACCGGTGAGACTCATTTCCTCTGGGTAGGAATGTACGTGTGTTGGGATTGAGTGGTGGGTATGGAGGGAGGGCTTTGGAGGTCATGCACATACTGCGTATGCAAGAGATTTTCCAAACGTACTTTTCCATCCATTACGCGAGTTCTCTGTCGGGTCGACATAACGCTTCTCCATGCTTTCCAGGAACCGGAAGAAAACATCCCACGGCTATATAAACGAGTAAGGCGTTTGTTTTGATTTCCACTGTCCACCGCTCATCCTCTATTCATACTTTATTTGCTTTCTTCGGGACATGGCAATGGCACTTACCTTCATCTTCCACTAGACAGCTTTTACATTTGCTTCTGATTTGGATTCTGCTTTCCGTAGCTTGTTTTCATGCAAAGTCACCTACATCGTATTCATGCCTCCAAAACATGTTTTGCACTTGGGGGTTCCAGGCAAAAAAGAAATCAGGAAAGAACCCTACAATTGCGGAGCTCCAGCAGAGAGCCTTTCGATTCAGACCGAAGGAACTGGGGAGATGAAAGAGGAGTGGACAACAGAGGCGTCGAAATGGTAAGCTAATTCTTCATATTTGAGGCTACGTCCGCATTGTTATCAATAGAGAGACCAAAAAAAAATGGATCACATCGGAATCGGCAGAGAATAGTCAATATGAATTAAATGGATCGAATAAGACCACAGAGAACGGTTTCAGCAATCACGCTTCGACGGCATCAAGAATCTTGCTTTCCCCGGTTGAGGATATTGTGGGCCACGCCGTCTGTCATCTCCAAAAAAGAGAGAACTAAATTAGGTGCAATCCGAGAGATCGGATCCTCTCAGAGCGCAATCGTTGAAATCTGACAATCTGCAAGATTTCATTCTACCAATATTATCGCGGGATGCGTAATATTAATACGTTTATCTTTATATCTGTCCACAATGCGACCGTGGTCTTTACATGACGGTCTCAGACTGGAATGGAATGATATCGTTGATGAGATCGAAAATGCATTGCTTTACAGATGAGTACGATGTAACCGTGGGCGAAGGGAGCAAGTATAGCGGTGTCAGGATATAAAGTTTTCTTTGTTCTCGTGAACTATCCTTTGACTCCTTCATGAGTAAAATCGAATGGATTTTCATAGCAAGGATAATGGAGACCGGAGGAATAAATCCTATTTTGGAAAATATCGTGGTCTTCTTTCCCCCTTTCGATATGGTGACGAGGAGGAATATAACCACCATTTCGCATATTTCCTAAATAACTTTAATTAAAATGGTAAATTCAGTATGCGGTGTATTTTTATTACTGTGAACGACGGGCAAGGGAGATGTTGGTTAACTAAGAAAAAACCCACTTAAATTTCAAAGGATTGAAGAATTAATTAAAAAGCAACAACCTTGTTACAGCATGCAATGCAGACGGAGAATCCATTAAATTCCATTTTTTATGATCCTGTTTTACATTTACATGAGATTTGGCTTTTATCGTCTGCGTTTAGCGTGTACTCTCTGAATCGTATTAGCGGATAACAAGTGGAATATACCAGGAGTACGGTGACAGGATCAGAGAATAGAGATCATGAGATCAGAGGCATGCAAAAAAGGATCTATTAAATTTGCTTGAATTTTTTAAAGGTATTCTCCTCAATAGTTGTTTCGGAGGCATTTCACTAATCACTATTTCGCTACTGTATCAGCAGCAGGCGTGACTGCTGTTGTTGATTTAATCACTAATTAATCATTACGGCACAGAGCAAAAGAGTTAAGACTGGGAAATTCCATTGTTAGGGTAATTTTTCAATTTTTGTAGAATTCTACCTCGATGAAAAAGAGAGGATGGAATATTTGAAGGTGTTACCAGAATAGG